ATATTAATTTCAAAATATATAAAATTAATCAAGAAACAATTTAACAATAAATACCAAAAAAAAGAAGCTTATTTTTGGAATTATAGTCACACTAAGATACATTAAGAGTCCCGTAAATTGTTTATTTACTTGAAATGTAAAAGGAAAATTATGTAAAAAATTATTCCGTTACTAGTAGAGACTTATCTTTTACTAATAATTAAAAACAATACTTTCAGCTTCAGATGGATTGCACCAGAACATTCAAAAAATAAATAAATAAATGTGATGAGATTTCAATGCTGGGAGCGAGGCCATCTTTCGAATGAAAGAAACCGGAGAAGACGTTTGCTCCTTGAGTCAGTGTCGGTGTGGTCCATTCCATTATTGCATAGAATATGCTATTGCATTGACTCCAAGTCAATGGTTGGTCAAGATTTTTCTACAATATGAGCTACCCAGACTGTAGTTCGCAGCCCCTGACCGGACCATCGATTGCAAAATAGAAAGTGATGGGTAGCTACGAAACACTCTACGAAGCAGTAAGAAATGGGCATATCGATCAGGTGGAGGAAATGATTGGTAGGAACCCTGCTATTCTTGACGAAGCTTACATGGAAACAACAGCAAACGCTTGCCTACTGCATGCTGCAGTATTGGCTGGCAGAGTCCAATCTGTGAAAGTGATTATAGATCATAAGGAAGACTGGATTGAAAAGTTCAACAACGATGGTCTTGGTGCGATTCACATGGCTTCAGAAAAAGGATCTGCAGAGATTGTGAGAGAGCTTTTAGACAAAAAGAGTGGGCAGAGTCAACTAAGAAGTACTGATGGAAGAAAAGCCCTCCATTTTGCAGTTCTCTCAGAAAGTGAGGGTGTTTTAGGAGAACTGACCAGTAGAATGCAACGAGATCGGTTCATTTCTTATCTCAAAGATGATAATGAGCCTATCCTTCACTATGCATTAAGGAAAAACCGGGTTCGGTCCTTTATGCACCTTCTGAAGCTGCTTAAGGAGAAGAATCTCAACGACGAAGATATTAGAAGTTTTTTAAATGTTAAAGACGATGATGGCGACACCGTTTTGCATATTGCGACTGCTAGGAGACAGATAGAGGTAAGATTTGCTTTTAATTCTCATTATTTTTCTGAAGAAGTGAATGATTCCATCTGGTACATTTGATGAGCAAGAAACAAATTAAAGATTTTATATGGAGTCATGGTTAATAGACAAACATATAGATTGATGCCAAATATATTTGTATACAAGAAAAGTGTCATAATTTATTTGTACTTGCAGCGTCTATGTGTATGGATACTCAATGTTGAGACTTCAAACTTTAAGATCTCAAGCTCTAACTATTGAAATAAATTGTTACATCCCGTACAAGTATATTCTTTGGTGCTAAGTTGGAAACATGTTATTTATTTCATTACTACTTTTCCCCACTTTAAAAAGCTATTGATTATAGGAATTTCCATAGCAAAACATAAATAAGTTTGGGGCTTAAAATAAATATAAGAAGAAAACACATAGGACTTGAACAGTTAGGTTATGATAAACAAAAGGAAAGAGTCCACTCTTTACATCATTTACACGCTAACATAATTTTATGTACAAACTATATAGTACAAAACACATAGTTTCCTTTATAGCAGCACTTAATGTTTTCTTTACATATAGTACATGGCTTTTTAGAGCAAAACAGTGAGCCAAGTTTAGGTTTTGGGTAGAGTTCAAATTTGTCTTACTAAGGTTGGCTTTGGGCTTGCACTTGGATTAACAGATGCTTCCTAGGCTCCCAAAATGTGTATTTTGCCTCTGGTTAATTTCTACCTACAATCTAAGCTTGGCTTTAGGCCTGCACTTGGATTAACAGATGCTTCCTAGACTCCCAAAATGTGTATACTGCCTCTAGTTAATTTTTACTTGTAATCACATGTAAATAATAATTTCATAAGCCGTAAAGCCTAATAAGTCTAGTAAAATATTCAACTTAACTTTCACAACTTAGAGATTAATCAAACAAATTTTTGGCACTAAGCTGAAACATAATCTACCCTACTTGAGCAGAGCCAATTTGATTAAGTTTTGTTCACAAGCATTGCACAATTAAATAAAATATTTCCCTCCATGAAAATTGTCACTTAAGATTCAAAAGAAAAACAAAGCAACAAGATAACTTTATGCTTGTCAGAATATTCACATGAATGTAAGTTCTTATCTATGGATTTTTCCTTATGGATGTACATCCCACATACCAGTGAACTAGCTAAGGTTCTTTTTACTATGCAATGGATCTAGATATCTTTATATCCTTACTCCAAGTTTTTTAGGAGTTCTTACCTAACTTAGTAGCTCAAATATGATTTTAGATATCTTTTTTCTTTACTCAAATACGTTAGAAGCATCATCATTCTTTTACTCTAGATAACTTTAGGAGTATCATCATTCTTTACTCCAGGTGACTTTAGGAGTATCTTACCTAGCCATTAGCTTATGTATCATACTATAGATTCTATACAGCATGTAAAACGATGCATTCTTATCTAATGTAATGCATATGCATTTTATACTAGTTGAATGTCCATCCCTTATACAAGCAAGATTAAAGAGCCAAACAGCTAACAAAGTTGCTATTAATCTCAACTTGCAGAATTTCAACTGGAAAATCAACACGAAATAAAACTTTAGATAGTGTAGAGAAGAAAAAAAAAAATCAACAAAGGAAGTTCCTTTCTTTTATTCACATAAGAACATTGCATGTTTATAAATCTGCATTTTAAACTTTACTTGCTATGTGGTGCTATTGTTGCCATCAAACTATAAATTTTAATTCCAACTCTTAAGTTTAAGCTAAACAATTACTAAAACTTATCTTACTGTAGTTTTAAGTTAACAAAAACTCCTCCCAAAGCATTCTTAACCTTGCTGCTAGTTTTGGGTTACAGAACCTCATTTTCTCCTTGTTTTTCCTCCATCTGATACTAGAAAATTCAGAATTCAAAAAAATGAGTTAAGTCTTATTTTGAACTATATATATACTTTTAGACAAAGTTAATGGATTTTTAATGAGTTCTACTTACCTAGATCTTCTATTTGACTTTTTTTTTATTATCTTTTAGTAGCAACTCAACAAAAGCCAACCAGTGAAATGTAGTAAAGTTGCTTGAAATTACCATGCAATTTGACAAACCAGATTCTGGTTTTTGACCTAACCTCCTTAACTTAATGAAATTAATATTTAAGGATAAAAACTTACAAAATCTTACACTTTAAGATAGGGTTGTTTCATAAATATCCCGACCGAACTTTGCATTTACACTTCCTTAACATATATACAATCTTAATCGCGATAGAATATTGCATGGAAAATTATTAAGGATTTTATTTACAACTTTCAATTTTTAAATGACAGGTACTGAAGTTATTACTACCGCAAAATGAATCGAGGAGGAGTATTAATTTGTATCAGGTGGACATGAATGCCCCAAATAACGCTAGAAACACAGTTCTTGATGTACTCTACAATTCACAAGCTAATGTCGAAAACATAAGCAACAAGATAGGGAGGATGCTTCAAGAAGTAGGGGCCCTTAGGAGCCAGGACACACCTCAAGTTGCCTCTAGTCAAGGCTCCTCAGCGCAGAGTTGCTGGGATCTTATAATTCAAGCATCATCCGATCGGTTCAAGTGTAGGTTTTGGGACTCCCTAGTAACCCAGCAAATTAAAGCCTCGGATCCAAGTCAAAAAGAGGCACTTATGGTTGTTGCTGTCCTGATTGCAACCATCACGTACCAGGCAGTTCTAAGCCCTCCAGGAGGATTCAAGCAACCTGAGGGACAGGGGAATCTTATTGCAAACCAGGTGATACAAGAAGACCAACAGCATTTCAATGGCAATGTTGTCATTGCATCTGATACAATTATGTTCGCCTTCATTACAATTTTCGGCTCCATCGGGTTCTTCTCTTCAGTGCTTATAATTGCCATTCTCACCAGCGGATTTCCTCTCAAATTGTTGCTGTGGCTTTCTCTAGGCGCCTTGGTTGCGGATTTTATAGCCTCTCTACTTTATATAGCTCCGATTGGGTTCAATATCGTATGTGGGACTGTTGTTATCTTGGCTGCGTTTCTTGTGACACAACTTTTCTGGATCATCAATCCGGTTGCCTGGAAATCTCTCAAACTGCTTACAACAAAGACCGAACATACATCCATGCAACCTGTTAGAGCTATGGCATGAAAGCTGAAAATGCAATGAAATGAGAGCTGCAAAATGATGCTGAAACATGACTGCACAGTAGCAACAAAGTGACAGCACAGTAGCAACAAAGTGACAGCACAATGGAGCTTCCCATGGGCTACAAGAAATGGCAACAAACTTCATCATTTTAGTCAATGTTTTAGGTAGTTAATAATTATAGTTTAGGTAGAAAAATATTATTGCTTTATGTGTAGCCTTCCTCTATAAAAAGGAAGAAATTGAATGAAAATTGAGAGAGAAAGAGAAAGCATGGTCTCTCCTCTCCAGTTGGGTGAATGTCTGCACCCTTCCATGTTTATGGCTTTATGTTCTATGTTATGTTGTGTTGTTTCTGCTATAAATAGCAGAATATCAATGGAAGAAAATGGGTTCTAACCTCACCAAAAAAGGGAACCTGGGTGTCTTTCCTTCTCCTTCAAGTCCTCCCTCAAATCCCCCCTTCTTACCACCAAAAATCCAACATGGTATCAGAGCTGAATTCTTGAGGGATCTGTGAGAGTTTTTTTTTTTTTTTTTGAGGGAACACCAGAAAAGACCCACCTTTCTCATTGTTTTTCATACGGTTTTCATGTGAAACCCCCTCTTGCTTGGTCAAAATCTTGCAGCAAAAAAAGGCTGTGAAGATGGAGGCTTATGTTAGTCCCACCATGGGAGATGTCAAGGAGAGGAAAACTAGATTCAAAGAGAAAGTGTTCATGTTTGTCTCCAAAATCAGTCCAAAAGGCAAATCATGGTCGATGGAGTGGGAAACTAAGCACGAGAACTCAGTTTCATGTTATATTCTTCATCCATCTTTTATGTTTGCTATGGATATGTTTTGAGTTTTCCCAAGAAAACTCTTCATGGATGTGGCTTTGATGCTCTAAACTCCCACGGCTTCATGGCAAAGAATGTTTGATGGAGATGATGGCAAAGGAAAACTAAGCACATCCCAGTTTCATTCTTTGTTCTTCAACCATCTTTCATGTTTGTATTTTTGAATGTTAAGAGTTTTTTTTATTAAAAAGAAAAAGTCTTCATGTTTATGCACTTGTGTACCCCATTGCTTTGTGGCAAAGAAGTTTGATGGAGCAACAGCCAAGACCAAGCACAAAAATCACAACTCTAGAATGTATTGAAGCAGCAAAGATCCACGAACAAAGCTGTTGCAATGGTGGAGTTGCTAAAAATGTTAAAGGCTCTAGAATTTGTTCAAACAGCAAAATTCTAACGAAGATGAAGCTGATTTGTAGGAGGAGTTGCATATTTGAAAAGATGGTACCTGGCAGCAAACAACAAACCAAACCAAACCAAAGAACTGAAAATGGCAAGAGTCAATGTTCTAAAGTAAAATTTTGTTTCTGCAGCTTTAATGCCAAGGAGGAGTTTGTTGGAGCTATGGCATGAAAGCTGAAAATGCAGTGAAATGAGAGCTGCAAAATGATGCTGAAACATGACTGCACAGTAGCAGCAAAGTGACAACACAATGGAGCTTCCCATGGGCTACAAGAAATGGCAGCAAGCTTCCATCATTTTAGTCAATATTTTAGGTAGTTAATAATTATAGTTTAGGTAGAAAAATATTATTGCTTTATGTGTAGCCTTCCTCCATAAAAAGGAAAGAAGAAATTGAATGAAAGTTGAGAGAGAAAGAGAAAGCATGTTTCTTCTCTCCGGTGGGGTGAATACCTACACACTTCCATGTTTATGGTTATGTTCTATGTTTGTGGCTATGTCTCCGGGTGTCTCTCCTTCTCCTTCCTTCTTACCACGCAAAATCCAACACAACCCAATTGGAATGGCAGAGTTTGAGTTAAATATTTATTTCTCTGTTTTGAACCCTATTGGCTAGTTGTTTGTTTGTTGTCTTGTCTTTCCTTTTCTTTTCATTTTTTATTAATGCTATTTCATATAAGGTTTTGTAATTTTTTTTTTAACAGGGCAATTTGAAAAATATGAAATGAGATACGTGAAATTTGAATACGTATAGGAGGTGATTCCTAGGGCTGGGCATTTTAAACCGAACCGATAGGTTATTTGAAAATCGAACCAAAAAAATGAATTTGGTTTGGTTTCAACGATTTTTGGTTTTTATTTTTTCGATTTTGGTATTAATCGAATATGTTTCAATTCGATTTCGATTGAGGCTTTCAAAATTTGAAAACCGAAAATAAGCCCCCTGAAAACCAAAATTAGGATAAATATGACAAAATATGACAAAATATGATAAAATATAATATTTTATTTAAAAAATAATTTATTATTATTTATTTATCAAAAATCGAAACCAAACCAATTTTATTGATAATCGAACCGATCGATTTTTAATAATTTCGATTCGGTTTTGGTTCTCAAAATTAAAGAAAATTTTTTTGGTTATTTTAAAACCGATTTCGATTTTAACTAAAAACCGGTTTTGCCCACCCCTAGTGATTCCCATTGAATCAAAGTTTTTGACCACTAAGCCAAGGCATAGGAATCAATAAGGTTTTGTAATTGAGACTAGAAGATGGATGTAGTTGTATGGATTTTATTTTATTTTACGTTTTGGAAAGAGGGCAATTACAACACCAACTATACTAAAAGGGGAACGAGGAATTTATGAGATTTGAACTTGGGGTGGCAATTTCCCACCATTCTTGGGTCGAGGACAGTATTCGGTGTATTTTTCTTTTTATGAAATATTATGGGAAATTTTTCTTATCTCGTGGATTTCTGCTCTTTATAAAATATTTAAAAAAAATTATTAAATTTAATTCTGTTTGGTTTAACTTATATAATTATACACTATATTCATTAGAGTTATTGTTTATTCTTAATTTTAACCCAATACTAAAATTCAATTCCTTTACACTAAACCCAACCTAATAATTTTTTTAGCCTTAATCCAACTCTTTAAAACATTTCGTTTTAAAATAATAAAATAAAATAAAAGCTTGAAACAAGTCTCAAAAAATGAAAATTTTTCTGCTGTACCAAAAACCTTCCCCTCAAGAAAAAAAAAAAAAAAAAAAAAAAAGCCCTAACATTGAACAATGGCAGACCTCCCTTCATCCCTCTTCACCTCTACCATCCACTTCTCACCTTCTCCTCAGTTGATCCCCCCTCTTTGTCTCCTTTTCCCTTCCCTTCCCTTCGACATCTCCTTTTACCTACCCCTCTCCTACCCTTTGTTTCCCTTACTAGTTTTGGCCCTCCCATATGTTCTCTTCCACCACCTTTACTCCCTTTCCACTTTTCGCTTAAGGCGATTTTCTCTTGACGGTATCAAGTCCCTCCTTGCTAGGTTCTATGGGACAAGTGAGAGATAGTAATTGTTTGTGCTAAAGGAGTTTGGATTTGGACGAAATTGGTGGATCGAAGGTAAGGATTGTGGGTGGCAATATAGGCCACAAGTAGACGAGAGATTGAGACTTGTTTGACCTAGGGAAATACCAACAGTTGTTGAGTAGAAACTGTCACCTGTTGAATTATCTGCTCTCCCCCCAGAAGTCGGCAATTTCAATGGGTTAAATTTTCCAAAAGTTTCTACTAGTCAATAAGATAATCCTCCTACCAATGTAGTTCAATCTTTGCCCTATGGTGATTACTTTTAATCTAACTAGATTACTCTTTATACTTATTAATTGTTTAGATTAATCATGACCAAATTTTAAGTTTGTAATTAGTGTTGTAACTTATACTTTAGTTTTAACTTATAGTGTCATGATATATAGAGATTATGATGTAATCTCATTTTACTTTTTAATAAATTTTTATTTTTCATAAAAAAATTGTTAGAAAACCGAAAAGAAGAATAATTTGAAGAAAGGTTTATTGCTTTCTTGAATCATACTGTATGTACAATGACCTATATATAGGTGTTTACAAAGAGAATATTCTAAGGTATAAAATATATAAAGAGAATATTCTAAGATATAAGGTATACAAAGAGAATATTCTAAAGTATAAAATATTGACAATAATTCTAAATATAATTGTGTTCACATCTTAACATCCCCCCTCAAACTCAAGGTGGTTGGGATGAAACCAACTTGAGTTTGGAAAGAAGAGTACAAAAGCGTCCAGGAAAATGAGCCTTGGTAAAGAGATCTGCTGGTTGATCAACGGAGCCAACGAAAACCAAATGGACAGTTCCTTGCGCAACATGATGGCAAATAAAGTGACAATCAACCTCAATGTGTTTAGTGCGTTCATGAGGTGGAAGAACAAAACATGCACAACCAAAAACCTTAAAAAGATTATAAGCAAGAAGAATACCATGTAGACGCTCATATGGAGACTGGTTATTAAGGACTGATGATGGAATGCGATTAATAAGATAAGTAACTGTAAGAGCAGTCTCACCCCAAAATCGCTCTCAACAAGAAGATGACATGAGCAGAGCACGAACAAAATCAAGGATGTGTCTGTGTTTGTGTTCGGCTCGCCCATTTTGTTCAGAAGTGTAAGGACAAGATTGTTGTGGCAATGTACCTTGTTCTTTCAAAAAGGATCAAAGTTTAGTACCAAGATATTCAATAGCATTGTCAGTTCTCAAAACTTTGATAATTTTAGAGAACTGACTTTTGACCATGGTAGCAAAATCAATATAAATTTGTGATAATTCAGAGCGACTTTTCATAAGGTATATCTAGGTAAAACGAGTATGATCATCAATAAATAACACGAAGTACCTAGAACCCCCCATGGTGGGTGTAGGAGATGGACCCCAAACATCAGAATGCACGAGATCAAAAGGAGCAGTAGAATGAGAATGACTACTCGAAAAAGATAAAGCTGGTTGCTTTGCAGATTGACATGACACACAATGCATAGATTCATTCGGAACTGATCCTAATAAACCACGACAGATAAGTGGACGAAGTTTACCGACTGAGGTATATCCGAGTCGTGAATGCCACAAATGGAGAGGAGAAATGTTAGTAGCAGCACAAACTTGGAATATTTGTTGATATGGAATTTGCAAAGACTCTAATTCAATAGCACAAAGCAGGGTTTGGATGAATCGATCATTTGGAAATGATAGTGTATCCATTTTATTATCAGGAATATGCAGATAGTTGAGCTCAAACAAACGCCCCACCTTGCGACCAGTTCCGAGAAGTTGTCCTGTCCGTGGGTCTTGCACACGACAACCATAATTACTTCAAGACCAAGATCACATAATTGACTGACAGATAGAAGATTATAACTAAGTTTTGGAACTAAAAGGGCATTTGGTAAAGTCAAAGACTTTGTAGAAACATTGCCAATGTGACTAACATTCATAGGGGAACCATCAGCAGAATAAATATCAGGAAAGGAATTATTAGGCGACATTAAAGAGAAATGAGTAGTAATTGAAGACATATGGTTACAACAACCAGAATCGAAATACTAAGGTTTGGTACCCGGAGCAGTAGATAAGGCAGTAGGAGCATTAAAAAGATTTAATATCACCTATTTTAGGGATTCAAGGTTGACATTAGGTTGTTCTATCACTTCTTTGGAAACCATAGCAGTAGCATGATGAGTTATAATCCTTTCAAAACTCGTCATAGAATCAATAAACTCATAATACTGAAAAATTCTAAAAATACGAAGAGATAGATGCCAAGATCGAAATAACAAACCAACAAAATACCTTAGAAAGGGCCTGAGAATCAAGGATAAACAATCCAATCTGTAGGAGAAGAGATCACAACGACAAAGTTTCAGATCTGGAATGGAATTGAAAATCCAACTCCAAAAAACCCAACAGCAATGATAAGAGAAAAGAACCAGGAGCTTCTAACTCTGATACCATGTTAGAAAACTGAAAAAAAGAATAATTTGAAGAAAGGTTTATTGCTTTCTTGAATCATACTGTATGTACAATGACCTATATATAGGTGTTTACAAAGAGAATATTCTAAGGTATAAAGTATACAAAGAGAATATTTTAAAGTATAAAATATTTACAATAATTTTAAATATAATTGTGTTCACATCTTAACAAAAATAATAAAATAAAAAGTTAAATTAATTTTATAATATAAGCTAACAGGAGGAGAGAATTCCAGCAGGGACCTATTCCATGTTGATAATAGAGATGAGAGACAAATTCTACCCCATCAAAACTTCTCATGAAAATTTTCATATATCCATAATTCATAAGAACAGAAATGAGGAGTCATTTCCTAACATTGCAAGGCATCATTGCCATCCCTACTTAAACTAAAAACTTTGGAAGGTGTCCCCCACTAATTGAGTGGAAAATGCGACGAGACCGGAAACTTTTATTTTATTAACATTGGGTGGTGAAATGTAAAAACATATTTAAAATTTAAGAAAGTTTTTAACCTATGCCCTAACTTCATGTTTGGAGCACTAGGTTAGAGATGGAATGGGACAAATTTCTGTCCTTTCCACCGTGTAACCTATGTTGGGGATGGTGAGAGAATGGTATAATCGATATCCTATATTTTATCTAGTCCTAACATCCCTCAATAAATTTATCATACCTCACCCATGGGACTAAGTTGGACAAGATTGCATTTTCAATTTTTACATGTCTTCTTTCTCCTTCATGATTTTCTCCCTGTTGGAAAGTAGTGTCTTGTTTTTAGCCATTATCTTGATTATTTAAGAAGTTTACTTTATTTACTTATTTTCTTAGAGTTAAGGCACTACTAGGTTGTTAATTAGTGTTTCTAATATTTAGGTTAGTAAGTTAATGTTAACTTTAATTAAGATTGTTGTATTTATGGCGTATTTCTTTTTGGATAATTAAGTAGAATTTTCATTATTGTATCCTCATCCTTTTGTTTTTGATCTATTGAATTAGATCAATTTCCCACAATTATTAGAGTTCTTCTTCTTCTTAAATTTTTTAACACTCCCCATCCTCCCAATCTCTCCGACATGACAAATCTATGGAGGCATATTGATATTGACACACTAGAACTCAACCAGATCCCTTCCTCATCTTCATCTTCCTCCTTCATCCTCCTCCTTGGTCTTCTTCCCCTATTATCTTGGACATCGGTGATGACTTTCATGGTTATGGCGTTGAAAAGGAGAAAGACACAATAAAGAAGGAAATTAGGCCCAGGAACACACAAATTTACAACAATTTGGTGTCAAAAAGCATCAAAATATCATATCTATAAAGTTAAGATGTGTCTCAAGTCAAAGTATCTTGGAAAAAATGGGTCATTGAAACTTATTTGAAATTGATTTGTTGGGTAGTGGTAAAGGCATCCATGGGTTGGTTGGAAGAGAAAGAATAAGGGTGGGAGGGAAGCAAACGTAGGGCTTAACATCACAATAATCTCTACATTTAGTGATGTTTATTTATTTGTCTAGTTTTTTCCAAGCGCATTTTTTCAAGAAACAAATAGGAATTGAATACACTATTTCTTTTTTCTTTTTTTTTTAAGTTTAGACACTTTTATTATAAATAAGTTAATTGTTATCTAAAAATTAAATAGATTAATTTAATTGTAACATACAAGATACTTTTATCTATATATCTAAATGTTTATAACTAATTTAACTTCATCAAAATAATCAACCAAACATTGGGAGAAAAAATTCAAATAAAAATGTTAATTTTATAATTTTTTTTAAAGATGTCAATTTTATCAATTTTTAATTAAGACAATAAATTTTTAACTCTTTTATTTAAAAATGTCAATTTTGTATTTTTTCTATTTAAAAATTAATTAATAGTGATATTGACATGACAAATGAAAAGTTAGTATTTTTAAATAAAAAATATAAAGTTAATATTTTTAAATTAAAAAATTGAAATTTTATTGTTTTAATTAAAAACTAACAAAGGCTTAGTTTGATAATATTGTTTGATACTACCTTATAACTGTAACAGTTAGAAATTGTGTTGTATAGTCATGAAAAGTATTTTAGTATTTAATAATTATATTTCAAAAATATTATCTATTATAAAATTACTTAATTAGACATAGTATTATTTAAAATTAAATTTATTAATAATTAAATATATAATGTATGGAGAAAGATTTGGGAATTTTATTAAATTATTTAGAAATTCTATTAATTTTAAATAAGATAATTTTTGTATTCCTTTTTTTAAAAATTGATGGTTAATTTATCAAATGCACAAATTACAAAAAAATTTATAAATAGATAGAAAAAATACTATAAATATCATTTTCAAAATAAACCAAAATTTACATCTTTAAATAAAAAAATTATAAAGTTAATATTTTTATATACACATTTTTACTAGAATTGGACTTAACACACTCTCATCCATCTAATCTAATTCAATCTTAGAGATTGAATCCCATCATATCTAATCATGTTTTGCATTTCAAATGTGAGATGTGTGTTTTTAAGACATATGTTAGGAATATATTTATTATATATTTTTATTATTAATTTATAAAAAATAAAAAATAAATTTAATTTTATCAAAATTAACTTTAACTTATGAATAAAACTTATTTTTATAATTTTTTATATAAATTAATAATTAAAATATACAATAAATATATATTAAGATACATGAAAAAAAACTCAAAATTTAAAACCATCTTCATCATGAGAAGCTAAATCTACAAAGTACGAACTCTGGAAGGTGGCCCCCACTAACCATAGTGTGAAATGCCACTGGGCTAGAAATTTTTATTTTAATAACATTGGGCGGTAAAATGTGAAAACATTTTAAACTTAAAGTTTAAAACTATAATCATGATAGAGAAACTACCAGATTTTTTTTTTTTTTGAATGTTTCTTGTAAAAGTGTGTTTATTATTTTTTTTATTATTAATTTATATAAAAAATTATAAAAGTAGATTTTATTTTTTATATTAATATTATATAAAATATTTTACTTAAATAATTGATAAAGTTAAAATTAATTTTTATTTTTAAATATAAATTAATAAAAAATACAAAAAATAATCTTTTAACATGTGTTATTAAAAAATTCCTTTTATTTTTTTTAAGGCTCCTCTATGAGTAAATATCATTTAACCGAAATCAATAGTGTGGGTTATTAACTCCATGAGATAAAAATATTAATATGCAAATTTTGTTTTATTTACCAGATTTAAAGTTTAATTTTTAAGATCAATATTTAAATAAATAAATTTTTTAAATATATTAAATTAGTAAGTTAATATAGACAGTATACCCTTAAAATTATTTAATAAAATATTAATTTTAGGTACTAAAAATCTGACCCCAGATCATCTTGATAGTCCAATTAATAACAAAAATGTGGGTTATTGATATTTAGTACTCTAGATTATAAAAAAAATTAAATTATAAAAAAAATAAATAAATAAAGGAAGAAGGAGAAGAAAAAGTGGTTGCTATCTAGTATTCTAGTGCTTTAAGTTCAGATGGGCTTTAAGCTCAGGGCTAGTTCTTTTGGACTGGGTCCAGGGACCGAGCCAATTAAGGACAAGGGGGGCAGCCGCCCCCCTAAGCGTTTGATAAATATTTAATATAGTACCCTAACTTTTATTTGTTAAAATTTTTGTTTTTATAATATGAATTTCAAGAATCATTTCAAATGTAGAGAAAATATTTATGACCTAAATAATTTTTTTTAAAAAAATAAGGATATGATTTATGAAGTTCATGACAGTTAATTAATTAGAAATTAGAGTTTTTAAATATTTCCTTATTTATTAAGCTTAAAAAAAAACTTTCATTCTCTATTTAATTAACTTTAAATTTATAGTTTTCTTTAGTATTCTTTATTTTTTTTCTTAATATTCTATATAATAATTTAAAGTTTTTTATGATATTGGGATACATTTTTATCTTTCATGATTGAATTTATAATTATTTTTT